GGGGCAGGAGCCTTCCCAGGGCCTTATTCCACCTTCCCTTTTGCCAGCCCAATGCCATTTAAACCAAGCTGGGGTTGCCCTAAGGTTCTATCCCAGGCATTTTGATCTCCAGCGTGCATCTCTTCCTTACTACCATGAAAAGGTTCACAGTTCCAGTGAGGAACTTTGCACCTCTGCTTATTTATAAATTTTTTACCACCTTCAGAGTCTCTGCAGATTCACAAACACTTCATAAATAAACTAGTAATAAAATTGAGAGATACTGACTTGTACTTTCATTGGTAAAACACAAACTATGAATTATGGGGTTTGTACTTCAAGGTGAATGAAGTATTTTTTGTTGGTACACAATGGTGTCAGAAAGATAAAATCACTGTTGGGTCACAATTACAATTTGGGCTGCTGCCAGGCTGCCTTTTTCTCACTTGTACTTTTGGTTTAGGTGAACAAAGGCACGTCTGGATTCTCATTCTTGCCTGTACTAACAGCACTGCAGGGCTGTCCTCTGCCCTCTATCCAAAGCCTCTTTTAAAAACCTTTCTGAGAGTAGATGATGAATACTTCAGTGTAAAAAAATAATACCTAAATCATAAAACTGCCAACTTCTATGAGGGTTACACTGACCAGCAATCTTTTAAATAGTCAGTAAAATACTCTGCAATGTGGAGCTTCCTTTCATTTCCCTTTTCTTTGCTCCTTCCTCTGACATCTGATGCACACACGGAGCTCCGCCAATACAGGATGTGGACTCTGCACCAAAAAACAGGTTTTAAGCCTGGTATCCCCCCCTGGACACCCCTTACCTTAGGAACAGGTATATCCATGTTTCATGGGATACAGGTGGGTGTGATCATCCAAACACAGGATTTCCAGCACCAAGTGCAGCATCCATGTCAAAGGGTGGACCTACAACATACAAAAGGGTTTTAACTATTCTGACATGCAGATTTACTGTTATTGCTGGTGGTAGTGGTGTTATCTGATTTTAAATGTTGTGTATGACACAATTCAGTATTTATTTCCATATATTTCAGTATATTTATAGTTCTGTATCTCCAGGGACACATATGTTACTATTTTTTAGTAATCTTTTGGCCATCCTGAATTCTGAAAGTGTCATTAGCCTTTACAACAAATTCATTCAAGGACCCAAGGAAATAAACACAGACTCTACATTCACTGTCAGATACTCTAAGGTCTTTGAAAGGTCAACACAAAATAAATTGCATAATTAGATAGAAATTTAATTAAGGAGTCAGAGAATGAGAAGGAAAATAACACTGAGAAGAAATTTTCCATTCTACATCCTTAAAAATTGGCATTAGGAAGATTGAATGCATTTAGGGGAAATATTAGATTTTCAATAACAATCTTGGACCAAATTATTTCTTACCATATATGCAGATAATCAAAAATAATGCACAGCAGGCACTGACAGAATAACTCACAGACCTCAAAGGTCTGCAAGCAGGTGAATAAATAAGAAATTAAATCTGGCCACAGAGCCCAAGAGCACCTTTTGTTCCTGAGAATAAGAGAGCTGGCAAGTTAATCAGAAAAACAGCCTCTGAGAATTTGGGCATGACATAAAATTCCTACAGAACCCTTTCCTGCCATGGCAGTTATAGGAAGAGAGCCTCTTCATTCCAGATTTCATTCCTTTACATGGCAGGTGAAAGAACAGGACTTCTGCCTTTGGGTCTTCAGGCTGCTGTGAAATATTTATTACTGATATGCTTCATCTGTATTAATAATTTAAAATTATTTTTCCTCTTGACAGATTTTATGCCTAAAGAACAAAAACACTTGATTTAAAAGTCTAGAAAATATTATTCAAAATAAATTTACCTGTCCTACAAATGCCAGCTGAAAAATGTCCTACAGTAAATGTATATCTTTAAAATTCCACTCTTTCATTAAAAAAACTTTCAGCATGGAGGAAATTCCTTTGTTAGTAATTCTACAGTAAGTCCAAACTCAGAAAATATTTAAAACCTGGCAAACATCTGTTTGAGTTTTTTCAGAAAATTTGAAAACTTTTCCTTCAGAGGACTCTTTTTCTTACATTTCAGAACCCAGGGAGCTCTGAAAGCATGAGATGCTTCCCACCAAACTCCAGAGCCTCTTCCCCTGACCTCTTTTGCTCTCAGCAGAGGCACAGTTTTACTCAGTCAGCTCCACCACACCCTGGAGACTCCAGCAAGGAATTCCCTGAGCGCAGGGCCTGGTGTAATCAGCAGTGCCAGAGCGCTGGGAATGCCCAGCACAGGGCAGGATGAGCCAGCCCAAGGGCAGAAAACCCTGCAGACTCTACAGCAGTGATGAAATGGCACTGCTCCCAGATTTGCCATGCAGAAAAGACTTTCCTGTTCCCATAATCGACTGCGCTCATTTCTGAAGCATTTTATTTATGATGTATTGTATAATCAACCTGACATTTATTTCATTACCACCTTTTCCACAAAGCAAAAAAAAGACATGGTGAACGGTATCCCCCAAAATGTCTCGCTAGGAATATATAAAAATTCTCAGTTAAAAGTGATCTCATTATAGCAAGAAAATTTATTTTGCCTTACAAAAATTGGCTACCGGGCTGAAGCTCCCACTCAGCCCCAAAGATCCCAAAGCAAACCCCAGGAGATGGGAAGCTGAGCCGAGGTCTGTCATTGCACTGATGGCAGCTTTATAATGAAGTCCAAGAAGGACAAACTAACCCAAAGTTAATAGATTGGAGCAGCAGGAATACTGAATTATTTTTATTTTTGTTCCAGCTCTCCCAAATACTATCCATAAGCAAACTCCTGTGTGTTAAATCATTTATTTGCGACGAGTTTTCATTAATACAAATGTGTCTTACCAAAACAGAAAAGCAGATGCTACCAGAAGAAACAACTAATGATGTAAACCACCCACAGAATCCCCATCACACAACCCAGCACTGCTGCACTGGCTGTGCAAATCCGAGTCTGGCCCAAATCCCACTCCACAGCCAGGTTCCACTCAGCTGCACAGCTGAAGGAGCGAAACTGGAAATTCTAACAGCTGAAAAACACACAGGAAAAAGGGTAAAAGTCTACCCCATTTCCACATGCATGTGATGCAGATTTGGAAATCAGTGGGGTGAGCAAAGGCCACACCATTCCAGCCCATTGCAGCTGGGCACAGGGAGTGCTGCTGGCTCAGAGGTTCTGCCAGCCGGGGGATGCTCCTGCAGGCTCGGATGGATCCTGGTGGGCACTCTGCTGTCTGACCCACAAACAAATGTCTCTGTCTCAGAAGCAGTTGCAACTCCTACTGCAGCAAAAGGACAAGACTCTCACAGAAAGGACTCTAAATCCAAGGTGAGAGAGGGGTTTCTTCAGAACTGCAAACACTGAGCAATTCTCCTGCATCCAAAGTCAGTTACTAAGGCACTTTTCACAATTTGTGAGCTTTTTTAGTTGTCTGAGCATGGATATCTGAAACTTAAGACCCTAAGTCTGTCAGATCTAAACTTAATACTGATCCTGTGAGTAAATGTGAGGTGCCATTGAACAAATATGTCATCATCAAAATTCACAGAATTATTAAACATTAGGAATTCTTGAACTTTAAAGTGGAGAAAATATTTTGAAATCCTTAAGTGCAGTGTTATACACATACATGATTCTTGACAGGCAGAACGAGAACGAGGCCAAGGGGCACATAACCAAAACCCAATACACAGAAAATCAGATTTTCTGATGTGTGTACAGATTCACACCTTCATGCCATAACCAAACAATAAAGACCCCTAACAGGAAGCCATGCAGTTTCCATTTATTGAAATTATAAATGAGTAGCCTTTCAAGGAGTCAGACATTCTGAGGGGTTGAAGAAATATATTACAAGGTAACTTCTGCAGCAGCATTCTAAGGGATTTTAGGGTACCAAGGTACTGTAGTTTTGGCAACAGGTACAGGTTTCTGTGATCCATAAGGAAACACACCTGTAAATTCCCATAAACCCTCATTTCAATTGCCTTAGATTCCCTTAATGCTCACCTGGATTTAAGAAGAAAATGAAAAAAGGCGATCAGTGACAGTAGGAAACTTTTTGCTGGGGAGTCCACATGTTTTACATCTACCCCAAACTTCATTACAGCCCTGCATCCATCACTGCTAAACCATGGAGAAGCTGAACAGCCTTAATACTGACAGCAAAGCCGTTCTGATTTGAGAACTTGCTCTCCAGGCTACAAAAGCACCCAGGGATAGGGAAGTAAAGCAGGCTGGCCGCACACCCGTGGAGCTCCAGCTCCGTGCCCTACAAACAGGCTCAGTGGGACCACTCTGCAACGAGCTGCAGAGCTCATGAGTGTGTGGGTGACAGAAAGTGCCAGCGGAACTTGGATCATACAAACCCCCAAACTGCTGAGAGGATATTCAGAAAAGGGACCTCACTTCACAGATTCCTTACCTAAAAAGCTAATGATCCTTTTCCTAGAGGTAAGCAATCAGTTACGAAAGCTCATAATCTTCAGTACCTGCTGTTCCCTCTGTATCCAGCACTAGGGCATGTATCAAGCGCAGGGAGAAACGTGCCCAATACCCCTGGTAACAAGTAGATGTTACTACTATAAAAAGTGGGTTTAGCTCTCAGTTGGACTACATGACTACATCCTCCTCCTAGCCCCCGTCCAGCCGCACGGAACTACATCCTCCGCGCTGTCGGATAATCCCGTCCATCCCGTGGGCTTACTCCAGGCAGTCCCTCCCTTCCAGCCCAAGTGCGGGGCTGGACTCGGCTCTCCGGAGCCGCTGCCCGCCTACAGCTCCGCATGCAGGCAGCGAATCCCCGCGGCAGCCCCGGCGCCGCCGCTCGCCGCTGCCGCGGGGGGGATGAGCGGCGGGGTCAGCCCCGGCAGCGGCGGCCGCGGGTCCCCCCGCGCCTCCCGCGGCATGTGCGGCCCTGCCCGCGGGGCGGGGGTCACCCGGGCCCGGCCCCGGCCCCGGCCCCGGCCCCGGCCCCGGCCCCCGGCCCGGGCCCGCCGGCTCCGGCCCGGCCCCGCGCACGGCAGGAGGCGGCGGGGCCCCGCCGGCCCCCGGGGAGCCGCGGCGGGGGCGGATGGAGACAGCGGGCACGGCGGCGGGCTGGGGTAAGGCGGGGCAGGGCGGCATGGGGAAAGGTACGGGCTGAGCCGGGATGGGGAAGGGCAGCAGCCGGGGGAAGGTACGGGATGAGCCGGGATGGAGAAGGGCAGCAGCCGGGGGAAGGTACGGGATGAGCCGGGATGGGGAAGGGCAGCAGCCGGGGGAAGGTACGGGATGAGCCGGGATGGAGAAGGGCAGCAGCCGGGGGAAGGTACGGGCTGAGCCGGGATGGGGAAGGGCAGCAGCCGGGGGAAGGTACGGGCTGAGCCGGGATGGGGAACGCAGGGGCTGGAGCTGAACCGGGCTGAGGGGAGGCAGGGGCTGAACCGGGCTGAGGGGAGTCAGGGGCTGAGATGGGGAAAGGCAGAGCCTGAACCGAGCGGGGAAAGGCAAGAGCTGAGCCGAGCCGGGGTAAGGAGGGAACCGAGCTGGGGAAAGGCGTGAACCGTGCCGGGGTACGGGGCAGGGGCTGAGCCGTGCCGGGCTAAAGCAGGAGCCATGTGGGCCGGGGCAGGCTCCGAGGGGCGATCCTGCTCGGCCGGGGCACACTCTGAGGGGCGATCCCGTTCGGCCGGGGCGGGCTCCGAGGGGCGATCCCGTTCGGCCGGGGCACGCTCCGAGGGGCGATCCCGTTCGGCCGGGGCGGGCTCCGAGGGGCGATCCCGTTCGGCCGGGGCACACTCTGAGGGGCGATCCCGTTCAGGCCGGGGCGGGCTCCGAGGGGCGATCCCGCACGGCCGGGGCACGCTCCGAGGGGCGATCCCGTTCAGGCCGGGGCGGGCTCCGAGGGGCGATCCCGTTCGGCCGGGGCACACTCTGAGGGGCGATCCCGTTCAGGCCGGGGCGGGCTCCGAGGGGCGATCCCGCACGGCCGGGGCAGGCTCCGAGGGGCGATCCCGCTCGGCCGGGGCGGGCTCCGAGGGGCGATCCCGTTCAGGCCGGGGCGGGCTCTGAGGGGCTGTAGGAGCCCGGGGGTTGCCGCCCGGCCGCGGTGCGGGGTGCGGGGATCCCACAGCCCAGAGGACCCTGCCCGAATCGCCGTGTGGGCCAGGCCCCTCCGAGCAGCGAGCAGCCGCTTCCCGCGCCGCCGGCTGGGCAGGGCAGGGCAGGGCAGCGCCGAGCCCCCAGCCGCACTCTGTCAGACAGCGAGCGACCCTCGGCAATCAGGCTTTAAATCCGTCTGTATTAGCAAACCAGCTCATCTTTTAAGAAATCTAAAGATTTGGTTATTTAGGACACGTTTTACTTGTATATATTTTGTTGCCTGTAAATATACATCTTTGAAGAGCGAGTTATAAATATTAAAGCCTAAGTGCATAGGGGGAGTGTGTGTATCAGATTTTAGACTAAATTTATTCCAACCCAGTTTGGCACACACATGCCCGATGCATTCAAGCTGCACTCGCACAAATCAGGGAAGTTGTTTGGTTTTACAGTGGTAGGTGCCTGTTTCAAAGACTGGTGAATGACTTAACAATAATTAGCATATTTATATAACACTTTGTTGTTTATACGTGGGGTTTGGAATCTGAGAGGTATTCATACCATTTCCTGAACAGGAGGAATTCCTGGAAGTATGAAGCAATGGCTTGTTTGGCGTTTTCCCCCCATTCAAGCTGCATCTGTGTGTGCACTCTGGGTCTGAGATGTGCAATCCTGCCCAGAGAGAGCAGCTGAACCTTAACATGCCTTCAGCTGATATCTGGTACCAAACAAAACCAAACTGCTATTAAGGACCTTTCTCTTCATTTTTCCCTTTTTAGTTATTTTCTTCCATCTTCCTCTCACCTCTGGAAGCTCCATCAGTATTGGGATTGGCAGCAATTATTCCAATCTCCGTAAGTAATCTCTCTCTCTTTTTTTTTTTTTTTTTTTTTTTTTTTTTTTTTTTTTTTAACTGCATTATTGGCATGCTTTGCAGTCATGTACAGCTGCAGGAATATTATATTAAAAGTTCTCTAGCAGCTACACATCAATCCAGGAAAAAGCAAATAGCTTCCTGACTGAGAAAAAACAGAGTTAACAGAAATGTCCTTAACCTTGCCATCTTTAGGCAGACCAAACTCACAGAAATTACAGAATTGTCTGAAATAAAGGACCATACAATTTAGTGTCAGGTACAAGTACTTCAATATTTTATTAAAAAAAAAAAATCCTTCTTCCAGCATTTTCTCCTACAACAGCAACCTAGCAAATTGACAAATGGAGCACACTGACATCAGTCAAAATTTATATCATTTTGGCACTCACTAGTGAAACAAATGTGGCTAAAAATTACTTCCAGTCATTGAAATAAAACAATTCCTGACGTTTGACTTCCTTCTACTCTCCTTTTTATGACTGTCTTTTGTAGTCGTTACATGAAGGTTTTTTGAAAAGGAAATACAGCATTATAGGAGCCAATTATCCTCATGTCACTGGTCCTATTTAGGCAGAAAACAACGTGCACGCAGGGAAGCAGGGCAGCATGTCCAGTGTCTTGGATGGAAGAATGCATAATGAGAAAAATACACAACAATTAAAACCACCAAGAGCCCTCTTGGAGCAAGGGCTGCAGCTCAAGAAAAGCTGTGCTGGAATGTTATAATTAGACTGTGACTTTGTAACACTGTTCATGCCCATCATGGCTGAGAAATCATACAACTAAAGGTGCAGTATAAGAAGTTCCCTTAATTTACTTTAGAACATACATGGAGGAACACAAAGTCTGATAGCTACACTCATTCACAAACTAGAAATCATACCCATTTTAATGTTTGCTGTCACAACTTATCATGACAGCAAACTTGGAGAAATTGTTCATAGAGTCAGAACCGGCTTCTGGCCACAGTAGGGATTTTTAGGATCTATCCCTAAGATAACTTTGGTAATTGAGAGCAGAGTTTAGTTGGTAAAGGTGAAGACACTGCTGCACCAAGTAAATGCCAAGTGCTGTCTTTCAGATTGTCTGGAAACCCCTTAAACTCCTCCAAAAAGTACATTAAAGCTAGGCTGAAGAGCAACTGCAAAATCAGTAGCTGCTGCCTAGCAGATGGCCAACTGGCATCACCCAAATCACGGAAAATACATAACAGCAGTAAAATGTGGACATTGGTATAGCTGCATTGGCAGTCCCCTCATTTGTTAGTGAGTTGCCTGTGGGCTTGGCTAGAAAATCCCTGTGCTGTGCTGGTGTTTTTACAGGTCAATATTGCAAAAAGAATGCTGAGAAGAAATATTTGGGTTTACATAATGCACAAAGTGATGTTTCCCAGCACTTCATTGCAGGACAGCTTTGTATTGCATTGGGTTTAGATCAGCAGAGTTCTGTACTAGGACAATTGCAGTGACCAGAGGAGTGTGAAGATAGCTTTCATTTCCACACAGGTGCCTACAAAATTAAGTGGTTTAGACCATGGTTTTCCTTTGGCCTTAACTGAGTCGAGCTCAGCCAGGCCTGACACTCTGGCCCTCTCCCCTTTAATTCCTGTAAAGCCTAGTCTCTGAAATGTTCCACTGACAGGAAGAGATAATATTAACACATCACCAGGTGAGCATTAGCTAGAAATGAACCCATGGCTCATTGGGATGCTTTTACAGCAAATGTGGAGAGACCAGAGTTATCCCAGGCTGTTTGGAGATACCACAGGAAGGAGACTCCACAGTGGCCTCTACAGAACTCCTGCAGGCCAGGTACCAGATCTGTTTGCTGCCCAAACACTGAATTTCCTAAGCAAGGGCAAAGGCCCGGGAGCAGGACTGCAGCTCTGCCCATACAGAGACAGCTGAGCCTTGAGAATCCTGCTCTAGTCCAGGACAAAGGGGAAAAGTGACCCGAGCAAAGTCCAGGCAAGAGAATACTCAGGGATGGAGCCCAGTGACTTCAGTGACACAGGGCCAAGGTGGGCTGGCAGGGTCAGCCTTTAACAGAACTTCCTACTTAGAAGTAGAATTTGTTTTGACATTCTTGCTTTAGATGTTTCTTTCTGAGAGAAACACTGGATTTTCTTTGCAAAGTGTTTCTAGGTTTTGGTCAGCTGTGTTTGGATGGTTGGTTTTCAGAATAAAAAGTCAGATTTATCTCTAGAAAATAATGACAATGAATATAAATTATTAATCGGCAGTCACGAACCTCAGTCAGTGTTTCAAATGCTTAAATGAAGGGGTCCAAAAGCTGTCAGAGAAATAAAAAAAACTGCCTTCCCTTTCTGCATGTGCCTGCCTCCTCCACCTCCTTCCCAGCACTTCTGAGATTTATCTCTGAGGAAATTGGTTGTAGACACTAGTAAAAGCAATCAAACCAACTGATTGTTCAATCAATTATGCAGATTGCCAATACATATGTGGTATTATAAAAAGATAGTTATTTCCAGCTATTTAGTGTCTCTATATATTCAAATGTTAAGTATTTATGGTAGTCCAAATCAACTACATCCCTGCTTTTATATCTAAGAGCACAAGGAATGTCCAGAGATATGTAAAACATTCATTTACAGGCATGAATGACAAAAACCAAAGCTTAAAATATACAAACAGCATTTTCATATCCAGCACTAAGATTCCTGTCTTAGAATCTTCAGAGTCTACAAACTTGTCCTAACTAAACAGAATTTTCTCACCAAATCAAGAAGGAGCAGAAGCATTCCTACTGTGGCTGTCTGTGCACAAAAACCCACCTAAGACAGGCCCAGGGGATACTTCCCAGAAGAGAAAAGTGCAGAAAATCCTTATTCTGGAATTAGTAGAGCCACCTTGGAGGCTGTCCCTCAGCATCTGGCTCAGGGACAGCAGAAGAGCACAGCTGGCTGCCAGCTGTGCTGCCACTGACTCCAGCACTGAGACCTGCACCCTGAGACCCTAGTGAAAGGATGAATAAACTTCTACTCATTAGCAAGCAAATCTTTATGCACACAGCAAGAATAAAATGCCCTCTCCACTGCTGAAGATTTGGGACTCTGCATCTCTTGATGGCAAATCCTGTCTTTTTGCCACTCCAAACTCAGCCAGTTTAGTGCAGTTGTCTGAGGCACAAAAACAATTCCCGATGACAGGAAGCACAACATCGGCAGGAATGTAACTGCACACCCCCAGGCACAGAGCCCAGTGCCTCAGTCCAAACCAGGGAGGAGACTGGGTGATTTGGGGTCTCTGCAAGCACCTTCAGGAGTTCTCCTGTCTGTCCCAGATTTGAGACATGCAGAAAGACAGGAGGTTGTTTCCAGCTTTGGTGGGAGCTGCTGGCCTGGGGAGGTACAGGATGCCAGGAGTTTGAGAGAGAGCCTGACAGATGTGCAGCCAGACTTGTGCACAGCACAGCAGGACAGCCCCTTGCACTTGTGGGGTGCCTTAAGAAGTGTCAGTGATCAAAGCACCAACACGCACCGCTCATTATCAATATATCAATATCAGATACCACACAGGTCTGTGGTGCCAGGCAGTGAGGGACATGCACTGAAGTAGTCCTCTCTTAAGTGCACAGCAAAATTTAACCCCCCAGAATAATCTGCTCTTTCTTCCTTCATTCTATTTCTTCTCCAAGTGTGGATGTTTTTCTGAAGCTGCTGAAGAGGTTCCCATCTCCTTTTCCTTTAGGGCACACCCCACATCTCCCTGCAGTTTTCCAGATTGCACTTCATGTTTTAATGACTCCAGCTGGGCAGGAGGGAAGGATGCTCAAATACCCCCAGAACCACGCCTTGGAATCCTTTGTTCCTCTCATCTACTAAGTAATAGCCAGCATCTTTCTGCCATCAATTTACTTTATGATGGCTTGGAATCACCTGTTACATGAAGAATAATTCCTTCACCTTTTTAGTGGAATCTGCACTGGGAAGGGATCCATTTCTTTCCAAGCCTGACAGTTTCTCATCCTCCTGTATGAGGATGTAGGCTGACAACTCCAATTCAATCATTTCCATTGTGCCTACTGACTTAATGCTTTCATTTCAAGCATCTTCTCCCAACTCACACTTCTTCACACTTGAAATAATGGATTAGGAAATAATAGATGCATAGTTCCCATGCACCTGCATTGCAAACATGCAGAGCCTAGTCCAATCCAGCTCTCTAGCAAATAAATAAAATGATGCTTCAGTTTTTGGAAGGGATCTCATCAAGCTGCTACAAGCAGCCCTATCAAGAGGGCTCCTCTCAGAGGGGAGGTTTGGTTTGGATCCTGTTTGAGCTGTGTGTTTAGGCACATACCCAGATATCTTTATGCAGAGCATCTCTCCAGGAGAGATGGACTCCTCTATAAAGCTTCCTTACAGTCTCTGTCCTCAGATGTTTGGCCTCCAGCTCAGAGCTGGCAGAAGCAATTCAGCTGGCTTCAACAGTATTTATGCAAACAGGGATTTTAGCTCCAAGACTTAATACATTTCTTGATGGAACTTTCTGAAATATGCCTGACGTTTTTTTTAATTACATTATATGGTATAGGGAAGCCTACAGTCCTCAAGAACCTGTGTGAAGATAATTCCCTAAAGGACATGGCAGCTAAAGCACCATGACCTCTGTCTATTCCTAATGCAAACAGTTCTTCTATGACACTTTGTTTCTGTGGGCTCTTTAATTCTAAGTTTTTTATCTTTTAATTGAGATTTTAGTTGCAAGCATGTTAATCACTCTGTTTCTATCTTTAAAATGAGGATTTGTATTTCAGCAAATGGTTTTTCCTTCATTGACAAGTAATCTTTATTAGTTTTATCGTTTGAGAAAAGCAGCTCTGTAAGCATCTGATCTTTACAGGTTTTCAGCATCCTAGCTTTATTTTGATTTAGCTGCAAAATTGCTACAAGATTACTTCTACTTTAAAGCCCCAGCTAAAACTGAAGCATAATGGCCTTGTCCTTTCAGGTGACAGATACCTAGAAAACACAAAAGGTGGGAGGAGGAAGAAAAGGCTGCCGGAAAAGTCAATTGCTTTAAATTACACAGGAGCTTAAGGAGAAAGCCTGGCTCTCCTGGCTACTGGGCTGGTGTCTGTCCATTCCCTGGCACTGACTCTTGCTAACAAGAGAGGAATTCTCTCAATTCTGTTTCCACTTACTGAGGACCTGTAATGATTTTTGTGGTTAGATGACAAATGCAGGGGAGTCTCCATTCCAGTGGGGAAGGGATTTCTACAGCAAGGCCTCAGGATTTAAAGAGATGAGCTTTACAAAAGAGGTCCTGTGAGAACCCCAGGATTGATTCAGGGGTCTCATGTGGTGGTGAAGTCTCTCCTCCAACCCGTGCTTCCAAAGAAAACTCCACAGCCTCTTGTGGTTTGGTCTCAAGGCAGTTTATTGCTAGCTATCTAAAAGATTGTCTTTGCCCGCTGCGGCTGCCTTGGTCAGCGGCCCAGGCAGAGACACACACTCCTGACACCCTCACTGCCTGCTGTCTTCTTCTCTCTCCCTGCCCAGGGCTGCTGCTATCTTTTATATGATATATTACGTGTTATATGTTTACAGATTTTCCCCAATACCTACTATCCATGTTACAACGTGCTTTTCTACTCTAAACCAATCTGTGAGTGCCAACATCACCAAAAACATGGAGGTAAGGAAGAAGAGGATCAGGCCCACTTTCCTCCATCTTAGAACTCCTGACCCCCCTGTACAAAGTAAACCCCCCTGTACAGGTGTTAAAACCCCCCTGTACAACACTAAAAAATTTTCCCCTCTAATTTGTAACTACTTTTACTATACCATCTAACCCTCTGTGACTGCTTGTTCCACCTTCAAAGTTGGTAACTCATTCCATGGCTCAAACTCAAGATCACAGCTGTTTCCAGCTGCTTGCCAGGGTCTAAAATGCTTCTGACCAAGGCCTGGAACCTCTGAAAATGTCTGAGGGACATTTTGAGTTCCAACAAGGTCCAAGATCCTCTCAGGGAGAGTAATTGTGAGCTCTTTAGTCCCAGCTGGAAGACCAGTTCTTACTAGGACCCCCTCATACTGAATTTTGCTCCTAATCTACAATTTAATGTCTCTTCTTACTAACAGAAATCAGTATTTTGGTTATTGCCAAGCTAAACTACTGAGGTACAAACTGACTGTTTTCACTCTCCAAACATACCCAGCACATAAGGCCCAAAAAATTGGCAAAAAGTACCAGCTTTGTTAAAGAAGTTGGTCACAGAAAGACCAGAGTTTCTGGAAATTTGCAAACCAGGTTTCCTTGTTGTCACCTCAATGTACTGCCCTGAAACTTGCTCCAAGGGCAGTGGTTATACAGGGAACCACAGAACCCTCACTCCCTGGGCAGTAGAGAAAGGGTAAAGTCTGCTGCCTTGACCAGACAGTAAAAGCTCTGAGAGGTAAATTAACTGGGGGTTATTTTGTTTTATTTTATTTTGTATTTAAAGACAAATTGCTGCTTTATTGCAGCAACCATGTTGACAAGTAGCCCAACAATATCTAGCCACTGGATATTTTAATTCCAGCTCTGCCTCAGAGACACATCCAGAGAGAGATGTGAATCCAAAGTGGTTTCTGGTTTGGCCTAGAACTTGGTGCTAAGGGAGGAACATACACTCTGCAAAGAGGAGCAAAAAGGAGGAGCTATTTAGGGTGATTTTTGTGCATCATTTGAAGAGTACATCAAACTGCACTAATGATCACTCTCCTCACGGTAGACACATTTGTGGAATCAGATGTTCCTTTAGAAAGAATGTTGGACATTCAATAGACTGAAAACGGACATTCAGTAGACTGAAAACAGTTCTAATGCATCCTGCTTGGTGCTCTGGCTGAACAGAGCATCTCTGAGCAGCAATCCCAACCAGAAATGCCCAGGTGTTTAGGGAGAGCACAAAATCAGAATATCATCAATACTTTTTAACTACACAGACAATTTTATAAAATACTTTCCTTTTAGAACAGCACAATCCTAAATTGAAACACGAGTGAAAACTGCACCTTTGCCACTTGATCCTATTAATCAGTCTGAAAGATATCTGAAAACCTGATAGATAGCTAAAAGTAGAAAAAAAATCCCTTAATTCAGAGGTTTATTTATGTGCTTCTGATTTAAAAAACAAACAAACAAACACATTTCTACTGAATTAAGCAAGGTGTAAATTGGAAATTTTCCTAAAGTTGGAGACATAAGATCTGCAACTCTTCAGGAGAGCTGTAGCATCTCTAGAGGTAAAAAGAACTTTTCCCCAGATTTTCAAGTTATGATTCCCAAATACAGCCAAGGACAACGTGGTAAAATGCAGGGATAAAAGTGGCATCAAAGTACTGTAGTAGTACAGAAATTGCATCCTGTGTCTGTGCTCTGGTTTAAGGTATTGTACTTTTCTTTAGTTGCCATCAATGCAAAAATATTGAGGAAATGGTGGGCACAAGAAATCACCAGAGATGAGAATTGTCTTCCTTATAGAAACCTGTGTTTGGCACAGGTTTTTATGTCATGCTCCTCTAGATCATAGATACAGAGTATTAAATGGCAACCCAACCTGGGCCATGAGTGTTTCATTCATTATCACTCACTGGCTGTGGTGACAACTGGCTACCCACTTCTGCAGAGACACAATTCAGGGGACATGGGCTAAAAAAATTACTGACACAGGAAAATTAGCTGCAAACTATCACCTTTTATTACTGTATTTTAATATTGATGCAGATTCGCTTTCAACCTGTGGGTCAATTTTTTGCATCACATCTATGTAATACTGCCCCTTAGCCTAAATTTGATGTGGCCATTTTGATGTTCCTAAATTACCAGTTTCCACTTGCTAAATCCATCAGACGTTGGCTGATTTAGAATCCACACCCTGCACCCCATGGCACGGCCCCTTCTGATGGGAACAGGTGAAGAATCAGAAAGGGTTCCTCTGAGAGAGGCTTCTTAGCTCCCTGTCATCTGTAGGAAAAACAGGTTTCAAATCAATTTTAGTTTTAAAACATGCTTTGAAGACAAAATACCTTTTGGCAGCATGTACCGGGACAGAAGGATCACCTTGGGAAGTAATGCATTTTTCCACCAGTGAAACAATCAGTCTTGAAAGAATTTTCATTGCAAAGAACTGAAAGCTCATTATTTGCTCAGTCAGTTTGTGATGCCTCTGTTCCTGCCTGCTGGCTGTGCCTCACTCTCTTCCTCAAAAGAACACTGACATATTTTAGTCTTCATAATTTTGGGGATTGTTTTACAGCTCCCTTTGAGAACAGATGGGACATTCGTATCATCTGGATTCACAGAACACATAATTTGCACTTGCTACAGCTGGGATAGGTTTGCACACCCATTTTTTAACCATCATTGTACCCCACTGCTTCTCAGTCCAAAGGAAATCTGCCCATGTAATGTTTTACAGTTTACAATCGGAATGGTTCTCCCTGAGGCTAACAAAGCATCACAAAACATCACTGTGGGTTTCTGACGTTCTCATAAAGGCCAGATCCCAAAGTGACTTGCCCATTTCCACAACACACAGCATTATCTCACGGGACATGAGGTGTTTGGATTAGAGTGGCCTTAAAGTGGAGCCAGCAAAGTGGTGAAAGGTAAAACAGGAATTTTATGTTGCAGGAATATGTCCAAAACGTGGTGACATCACAGCCAGTGGTAGGGGAGAACTGTTCTGAACTGGTAAAAACAGGCACAGTGAAGATACAAAAGGGTGTAAACTGAAGCAATTTCATAGAGGTTTAAAATCATTAGGGCAGCTTGGAACTACATTAGGAATTAAACAGATTTGTGGAAGATATCACCAATTACTTGCATATGACAATTAATATGACAATTATTACCAGGAACAATTATGCCAATTTCCTAACAGGTTTTTTTTTCCCTTTGCATCATTTTTCTGTTTGACATTTGCAATGACTGTGAAACCAGTCCAATACCAATAAAAGTTGTTCCCATTTACACAAGGACTACCCTTGGCACCATGAAGCATTATTGCTTAGCTGCTGCTTCTCTCATTTTATTAACTCTAAAGAAACAAACAAAACCAACAAAGCAACAAACAAATAACACCCTTAAAAAAGCCCACAAACAAACAAAACAACCCATGCCCAGACAGGAACTCCCACAAGGTTAATTGCTGGGAATTCCATGCGATTTTACCTGGAACTGTCTGAGATCCTGCCAGAAATGCAGAGGCTGATTGGGAGGTGCAGCAGGATGTTCTGGAGGTACACATGACCCTGGGAGGTGGCAGAGCTGCCAGGTGCAAGGGCCCAGGCTGAGATGGGCTGTGGCAGTGTGGCAGTCCTGGTGATGTCTATGAGCTGGGGACACTGCCACCTTCCCATGGAGCAGCTGTGCAGGAGGGGAGATCAGGAGCAATTACCAAACCTGCAGGATCTTGCAGCTGCAAAGGGTGACAAAAGGTTCCAAATTAAAAATACTGGAGAGGTAGCAAAGCTCATGTAGCAGCCGTGCCTGTGCTCTGCTGGGTGCTCCTGTGTGCTCCAGAGCTCCTGCTCTTCAAGCTGGGCCTGAACCTTTGCCTCTGGAATGGTTTAGATTGCTCCCATGAAGTGGCCTGGATACAACCTGAATTCATAATACTTTGCTGAAAAGTAAAGCTGATTTCCAAAAAATCTTTCTGTACAAAATTCTTCCTTACCAAACTTAAAAATATTTAATTTGGTCATTAATGAACTATATTCTGTCTGGTTTACTTCTCTTTTTCTTTATTAGAAGACTCTACATGTGTCAGTGCACACTCAAATGCACTTGTCAGACAATTATTTGCTTTTTTGTACCATCCAAACAATATCACCTCCAATAGCTCTTCTGGTGAAATGGGAAAAAATTATGAAAATAATATATTCTTTGAATAATGTAGGAAGTTTTTACCTCTCTTTTCCTGAAGAATTTTCTGACTTCCTGATCTCCATAGTTTTGTTTGTTCCTTATAGTATGTTAATAGATTTGTAACCTAAGAAACTGAAATATATTTACATGACAAGTTATTTTTTCAGTTATTTGCTCAGTGGTTTAGATGGTTCGGTGGGACACTGAAATTCCATGGGAATTTCACTGAAATTCCATTTTGTATTGTGAAGTGTAAAACACAGAAGAAAGCCCTGTATAGTTCCTTTCACAGAGATGCCCCAATTCCCATTAAACTGTATTTCATGCAGCTGCTGATTGAATGTTGATGGACATGAAAAGCCAAACTGCTGCTGCTGCAGGCAAACGCTTTTACTTTTGGTCTGGGAAAGGGTGGCCCTGCTCAGATGTGACAAGTGACACCAGTCCCACCCACACTCCCATTTCTCATGCAAATATATTTTGTACAGGTGAATATTAGCATGACCTGAAACTGCTTTTCTGGCTGTTACCATCTCTCCTTTGAGAGGAGGAAATGTATGTTCATTGCTGTCTGTATGCATAAAGATAAAAGGAACCCCAGTGCACTGTCAAAGGACAAGAGAAAATTGCTTTTTTCCCTCTCTCTAGGCAGAGAGGAGTGATTCAGTTCTCTACTCAGCCCCTCAAAATAAAGAGTAACCCTGGAACACATCTTCAATCATTTAGCTGAGAGGCCAGTAAAACATTTGGCTTCAGGCAGAGCTGCAGACCCTACTGGGTAGTATTTCATGTCTCTGCAAACCAACCCTAAGTTTATGTCTCCATAAATTCACCCAAGGCTTTATTAAGAGTATTGAAAAAAATCCTTCCCCACTCTGTCAGACTCAGTTCCTACCCTTAATTTTCAAACTGGAAAGGGACCATGACAGAGTTATACTTACGGCTAAGGAGGTCTTAATCCTTAGACAATAACAGATCTCTTTTTTTCCCCATTTAACCATTTTGTGTGTTCAGCTGGGGCGAAGATGCATTGTTTTGGTTGGGGTTTCCAGCAGCCAGAAGGCTCAGAGGCACTGCAGCCTTGTGACTTCCCTGGTGTGCTTCACCTGGACCTCATCTAGCTCAAACCCACGGAAAATGCCCGGAACAACAGGACAGGAAGGGTTTGTTTCAGTCTGAGACCCTTCTCAGGTCTGACAAAGCAGAGAGAGCTGTCATCCAGCTGGGCCCTTCAAAAGCAGCAAGATGGACTTGCAGAAGGAATTGCTTGTTACACAATCATCTATTGTTTCTCCTCCTTTCAGATGAACTGAGCCTTCTGCTGAGTAAAAACGAGCCCCACTGTGGTGCCAGACTCTGCCTCTTACACTGGCTGTGCTGTCACTAGAAAGGGGACCTGGCAAGTCCCCGTGTCCTTGAAACTCTGCTCAAGTGAGTTACCCTTCACTGGCCTGAATCGGGCCCCCACATTCTGGGAATGTGAATCCATCTGCTCACCAACTCAGTGTCTCAGCAATGGGCTTCTCTGAACAATAGGTTTCATCTGGTTTTGCTCTTGCAAGGACATGAATATTTAGAGGCTTATTTATTCTTCTGTCTAAATAATTTGTACTGAATGCTGAGTTCAAGGACCATGTGTGGTTCAGGCAGCAGTGGGAATGGAAGTCGTGGTCAAGATCAGAGTGCATTAAGCTAATGTATTATGAAAGCTACTGCCCTGAAATGCCAGTTGAGGAGGGAGAAGGAAGAAAAAAAGCCTAAGAAAGGCAGTTTCCATTGCCAGAAACAATTAGGCACTGGCAGCTCTGCAGAGCAGTGGCTGCTGGCTGGGCCTCTGCATTTGGAAGTGGATTGTGAATAACCAAACCACCTCACAGCTGATTCAAGTTATGCTTGGCTGGGGAGAGGGCAGAATTACTGCCAGGTCAGAGATATTCAGTGTATTTAAAGGAGTCATGGGGTACTTTTGATACAGAGTGCAGACAGTTTTAGCCATTTGTTGTAAAACCAGATTTGTTGCAAAGGAGTTGAAGGAGGTGTTGAAAGCTCTCTGATGAACACAAGGGTGCTGCAGTCTCAGCAGCTGCTGTTTACAAGCAAACTTGGAGATGTAACCACCTCAGCTTCTTCAGTTCCTGCCTTGTTATGTTTACACCTTAATGTCAAGCTACAGTTTTAACACTGAACCCTTCCTTTTAGCATACCCACTTTGTGACTAACAACATCCAAGAGACAAACTGCTTTTAGACCTCTGTTCTGCACTCAAATAGCATTGATCACGGGCTGTCAATAATCAATTGTGGATTTCAGTTACCATGACATTTTACACAGAAGAGCCTGGCCTCAATTGTGCAGAAGGACCAGAGGTTACAATGGCAGAGTGACCTGTAAAGACACTTCAGATGAAAGTAATCCAAAAAATGAGATTTGAGGGTGAGCCTAGTACCCCCCATCCTCGAATGGGCATGAGATACATGGAAGAAAAATGCAAAGTAAAACCCTCTGGACATGCAGAGTGTGGGCAGCAGGCCCTCACCACCATCCCTGCTCAGCATCACCCACTCCCAGGCTGCCCAGAGCAGTTCCAGCCCCACACAGACTCTGACAATGGAGCAGCATCCAGTTTAGATCCAAGGAGCACAAAAGATTATGACTTTACACTGAGAATTTCTAAGGTTTACAGTTAATGTGCACGGGAGGAACATGAGACCTGAATTTAGGCAAGATCTCAGGTTCTTACACTCTGAATTCATAACCTGATCAGCAGAAATTACAGCTAGACATGGGGTTGTGGTTCTTCCTCTGAGAAAACATATTGGGTGTAGCTGTGAAAGGTTTAATGGGAACACACCAGTTTGGATGATCTTGCATTTTGCCAGGATCCCATAATAACATTGTACCTTGTACAATTAATTACATTGTACATAAGAATGTGTTCTTTTCTGCCCTTCTATAAAGGTGTGCATAAAGTAGTGACTGGCAACAATCTTTTTAATATATGTAAATATATTTTTTTCTAAATGCAAAGCTGTCACTTCACTGCTAGTAAAAATCTACAGGAATGACACCTGAGAAAATTAGAGTCAAGTACTCACAGGTTTGCTCTGAACACATCACAGCCATTAAGAGCTCCAAACCAACAGAGCATTTGCAGTAGTTACAGGAGTGCACAGAACTCAGAAACTGCATGGGGGAAAATTCATTGTCAGTGCAAGGACTGATGATCTTCAGTCTTCTCACCCTGACTGTTGATAAGTGACTCTGGGAGCAGTGTCACCCCTCAGGCACCACATTGCTGCCCTGCAGACACAGAAACACCCCAGAAACACAACAGCCAAAGCACTGTGCATATATAATATGTGGTATATAATTATATACCATACTTATTACCTAATATCTTGGGGATGAGCATATATCTAAATATATATATTTATCATATTTACTACTTTTCCTCCTATCTGTGTGCAAGATAGAGGCTCTCCGTTTTAATCATTCACTGTTCTAATTTCTGACTTTCTAGTTTTGTAATACTGACATCTAGACTTTTAGCCCATAGTGTAGAAAACACCTTGGTTCCTTCAGAATAGATTTGGTATTTGGTATGTTTGATATACCTGTTTCATTCTAATATATGTTAGCACATTTAGAACTTCCTGGCAGGATCCAAGCACCTTGTGTTGTCTTCTGAAAGCAACAGTAATTTTAAAGAACTACATCCTTGAACCATAAAGCATGAATGAAAATACCTGACTTTTACATGTTAGCTATCATTATTCTTTCTCATCTTAGATTCATTACATTTACTTTACAATTAATGGTATCTCAATTCAGAAATTTAATTTTCTTTTTATTTTGGCCAACAAAATCTTCATCTACTTTATATGAAACCCACAAATAATAAAAACCAGGAACTAAGAAGGGAGTACAGTTCCCTTATAGCATGTTTTTCTATGAAACCATTATCAATAGATACCTTTAAAGCTATTGTCTGTCATATCACTTAACCATTACTTGTGTGTCCTTGGACAATTTCTCATGCTACTAAAGGACACTGATTAAGCATACAAATAGGTCTATCACCTAGGATTGCTGTTTATTTATTTAGAGGTTCTCAGAGACATGGGGGTTGTCACCTTTTTTCAATTGAAAAGGATTTTATATAGATAAAAGCAGGAATAGATAGATAGAGAGAGAGAGAGAGAGAGAGAGAGAGATAGATAGATAGATAGATAAAATTTACTTTCATATCATTGCTTCAACAACCTAAAAGTCTTTTGACAAATGGCTTTAAGTGACTTTAAATTTGTTTCTTAACAACAGGCAAGTGCAGCTTAGATATGAAGCTATATAAAGTTACAGCTATCAGACTGTCAGTACTAAAACCCTACAGCCATCATCTCCCCACATTTGTTTAGAGGTCACATCTGCATCCCCCACACTCACACACACAAATTCCCAGTGAAAATTGGAACCTTCTGCTAAATGGCTGTTTCCTCAAGGACAAGGAGTGACACAATATTTTCTGATTCCCAGTGCTGGAGCCAGAAGTGCTCCCACTGCTCTGTGTGTTTCTGACTCACATTAGCAGGGTGCAGAGCACCTCTTACTCACTGCAGTTATGATGAATTAACTGCAAAGGAGGAGGAAGAAGACAGCTGTTGTTTAGGCTTTTTTTAAACCCAAACAAAACCTGTAGTCCAAATCTCTGCCATGTAATATGGTGTTCCTTGACTGCAAGTGCCTCAATGGATGCTAAGCAGATGTTTAGAAATTAATTTCCGCTGGGCTGGAAGTTTGTAATTCTCATAATAAATCACAATGTAAAACTAGTACATAGTTTCCATTTTCAGTGTGCTACAAATAAATAATTTCTACACTGTAAAAATCTAGCAGAATAAAGCCATGTTCCACCTTTGGAGCTGCCTGTGAAAACAGTCCTTGTCAAAATTCTTCTTCATTAGCAGCCAGGAAGGACAGCTTTGTATTTCAACAGGAGGCTGAAGCAGCTGCTCAGATCTTCCCTGCAGATTATCAGGAAGTCTTCTGTGAACCTCAAGAGTTCCAGGGAGAATAACCCCCAGTAAAAGGGGAAGGACTATCAGGTAGAAGATCTTCACCAGCATCTGTTCTTGCTAACACCTTCACCCTGACTAAGTAGGCTTGAGATAACTTCTTTGGCCTAAAAATGTGTGAGCACAGGAGGCCCACACCTTGTCCTCTGCAGAGAGGGATGTGTCCCTAAGTGCCACTGGGATCACAATCCCTGCTTCTCATGGAAGGATTGGACACCGAAATATTGCACAGCACTCACCAGGCCAGCAAATGAACCCTTCAAGTACTACTACCAGACTGTGCTCCATCTAATTAGCAGAGCAATTTTGTGATAGAATCAATTAATTACAATGCCAGGCAGATGGTGATAGAACCACATGGTGTGCAGAACTCTGTATCTTAAATTCATTATCTGGAATATTTATCAAAGTCACAAGGCCTTTCAATGCTGATAACATGATTTACTGTGTTATTTTGGTCTGCTCTATTTCAATTTTGTTCCAGTTCTCTCCCCCACCTCTGGCTTTCCAGAAACCCAAATATCTTTCAGTAAGGCTGAAACAGCACTTCTAAACCAGTTTGTGTTATGAACAGTAATGGCAACTGGTGGTTATGCTGCACATTAAAGAACTCCTTTATCTTTTGGAACCCTGTTGAAAACTCTGTACAATAATTTGACTTTCAAACATACATTAAACTGGAAAATGAGGACCATTTCAGCTGTTCCTGAAAAACAGTTTACTCCCCCAGTAAATGCCTACAAGCAGGACTTAGATGCTTTTAATTTC